GACGATGTAACATAATCAATGAAGTCCGTCCACTAGCGTACGCTGATAGAAATATCGCGCGAGTTAGCGAAATCCTAATGTGAATTCTTCGGGTCACTTTGAACGACGGACCACCAGAGTGATTGTAGTTATTAAAATTCAGTGTACGTAAAGCTCCTAAACCTGATCTGAACCGGTTCCATGTCGCCGAACCGACGTAGCACCAACAATTATGATAATGGTAGGTTATATACACCATGCGGGACCGAGTTCCCAAGTTCCACAACACTGTCTCTCTATATCTTCTTTCTCTTCTACCCCCTACCCCCCTCTATAAATTTTAAAAAATATATATGTAAAGGTATAGGCCCTCGGAACCCGGACACTAACGGAAAATGTCAATGTAACCACAACCCTTCTAGTTAATAAAATTTGGTTCCGAAAATTTTGGAACCCGAGTTCCCACAACTCATCAAATAATTGCAATTCACTATTAAATTAAAGCACCACAGCAGCTCTAGTAAGTACGACATCATTTTGGAACTGGTTCGGAACGCGGTTTTGGAACCCCGGAACTTGATGAGTAAGGAGTTTAATCATTCAACTTCCTCCAGCGTTGCGAGCGCAACTTCAGCCGTCAACTCTGGCGTATCTGCTGCCGATAAAAGCATCGCTTGCATAGTCTCCAGATCGTCGGATAACTCGAAGGGAAGCTCCCCATCAGCTGACCAAGCTGACACAAGTCGTGCTGAAATCGTAATTTGTGACCCTGATACCGATGTTTCCACCGAATAGTCGTTGTGTTGAGTTGGCGTGACTCATCCATGTCGATCAACACCCAATAACTGAATCCAGAGGTCGGCACCAGCACAATGTTACGCCAACGAATATCACCGTGGCAGTACCCGCACCCGTGCCAATACTTCAACGCTGTCAGCATATGTCGCAACCACTCGCTCAGCTCGTCGATTGTTGGAAGTCGCAGATAACCAATCGGAGACAGTTCCACTACCAAACGGCCGTCTCGCTTCACCGACAACTTTTCCACGGTCTGCAAATGCGTCACGGGGCTGCTTTCATCTAATCCTTGCAGAGTCTCGTATACGCTTTTAAGTCGCTCAACGTCCATTTCACCACTGCTCTGTGTACGTCGGATCGTCCGTTCGATAAAAACATCCAGCAGCACGATCTTCCGCTTCTCGTTTTCATCGGGTACGAATGGCTCGAGATCACACGCATACGATCGCTTCGTTAACTTGGCCATCTGGTGGAGCAAGAACGCCAAATTGTAAAACACCTTCAGCGCACCGACTTTATCCTCGAAGACGCTGAAGTCGAGTATCACACTTGCGCGACACGGTCCGTCGGATCTTTTGATTGCCACCACTTGTAGATCACTCCCGGAAGTAGCGTATCCCAAGATGTAAGGGAGATCTCCATAAAGCATCACATTCCATCGGCGCATCTTGATCGTCAATTCCGCTCGTGCCTTGGCTATTGGCTCCAAAGAACTCTTTTCTTCTCCACGCATCAAGACGAGTCCCTTGTATTGGAGGATATAGTCCGGTCGCTTTCGTAGACTGGTAGTTTCTGTTTTATCGGCGAAATTTCTGTGTTCTCGAACCAAAAAGCCCTTCTCGTGCCAAAGGGAAATCGGAATCGAGAGTAATGCATCATAGTAGAACTGCCAAGAGTACTCGGATGCTGTTGCTTCAGGTCGACGAAACACACTCAACGCTAAGAAATGGTCAGAAAACACCAACGAGCCAACAGTGCGGCTCAAAAACGCGATACTTTACGCGAAGTATCAGCCAGCAGTTGCTGAACCAGTGATTGACGAACCAGTGATTGCTGAACCTGTAGTTGCTGAGCCAATGATGACCAAGTCTATTGAAGAAATTTATGGTGAGCATTGCATTCAGCACACCAAATCTGTTGATAAATACGATGAACCCAAGTTGGGAGAACTATCGTATTGTCACCAAGTGATTGGATCAAGTCGAAGATGCACACAGTTGGTGATTCCATCGACTACAAGCACAATGATCATGTCACACCTGACTTTGGCAACGGCGGATACACGTATCTTTTGCAATATCAATTCAATGAACTGGATGAATCGGAGATGCTTGATAACTTCTTCTTTAAGTCCAGTGAAGACCGTGAATCATTTGAGCAAGCGAACGTTGAATGCGGTGTGGAATACTTCCTCGCAACTAAATCCTACGATGAGCGATTGTATCAATTGTGCATGATGATTCGAGGCGATTGGTTCTGCAACAACCAAAACGTGTGGAATCTCGCTGGATTCTTTGCTCGTCAACCTCATTCTGATTGGTATTTGATGCGCAAGACCTGTTCGATGGTTTGATTCCAAGTATAATCCATCACTGAACGAAGGCAAACTGAAAGGGATTGCTGCTGGTTGTGATTCTGCTGCATACAAGCAATGGAAGGATGACTATGAAGTCAATGAGCCAAGGAAAACATCCACTTTGAAGACATTTATGCTTTCTACACTTGATCAGGATTTCGAATTGACATTCAAGTCTGAGCGAAAGTTGGCAACACTAACTCAGCTGGTGGAATTGACTGGTCGGACAATTGATGACATGCGTTCAGCCATGGTTGATACATCATTTGAGATCGATGAGCTTGAGTATTGGGCCGAAAAGTATCTAGTGATCGAGAACAAGCCTCAATCGCGACTTTGATTTAAATTTCAGTACTTTCGAGAAGATGTTGAAAACTACCAGCTTCGAGTATCTA